GTAAAATTCCAAAGTGAATATTTTTGAGGAACATACTGCAAATTGCATTCCATCCCTTATAGGGTTTGGAGATATAAATTTGATTTTGATGTTTAATAACTCATCACATGCCAGTCACCATGGTCCCTTTTAATTTGTTGGTGTCTCTGTTCTACTCCACAGAGTAATTTTCAGTTAGGAGTTAAAACCTATTGATAATGTGGAGCAGAATGCCTCTAAATAAGAATAAAATACAAGTCTCTCCTTCATTAGTTGTTCTACGAGTACATTTCTTTGTACAGTATCTCAGGAATTCTCAATGTGTACATTGTGTACATTTCTAATAAATAGCAAGAGCCTAATACAGAGTCAAAAAGTTGAAATGGGTTTTCGACATTATTTGAGCAAACCACCTTGGTCACTTTACAGTCAAAATACAGCAATGGTATCCCTCATTGGTAGCTGTCCAGTCTGTGCTTCAATATCTCTAACCAAGGAGAACCCACTGCTTCCTGCTGCTCCAAGCATTTCTTGCACAACTTAACCCCCAACACTGGTGGGAAGATAGTGTCTTTCCATAGAAGATAAATGGTTTGAGAAGAAAAAGAGCAGCGTAATGGGATAACACCAATGTGTTATATTAAGACTTCTTCACTGTGGCAGGGCAGGAGAATCCTTGTGTCGTTAATGTGGCACACTGATTGTTCTTTTTGAATATATTTATATAAGGAAGAAGTGCAGCAGGGCATGGCTTCAGGGACTAAATGGGTCATTTCAGCTCCCACCCTTTTTTCTTTCTCCTCAAGGACCTTTTTATTCAGGGAGGAACACTGCCTCTTGAATTTGGTAATGACCTTGTTGCAGTCAGTAAACTTGTTGCACCCTTCCAGCATTGCCATTAATTACTAAGGGCACTTCATATTTCCTTCTACTGAATTCATATTATAAAATCTATTTCAGTTGTAGAGTTTGACATGTGCAAAACATTTTTTTCTTTTCTTTTTACTCAAGTGCCGTGTATGTTGAAAATAATAATTGTGTGTCACCTAGTCAATTCTAACTTATGCCAACCCTTTCCAGAGTTTCATAGATAGAGAATACTCAGAAGTGGTTTACCTTCCCTCCTTCTGGGGTTGCCCTGGGACTGTGTAGCTTGCCCAAGGTCACACAGGCTGGCTCTTCTCACAGGAAGCACAGTGGGGAATTGAACTCCCGGTATCTGACTCCACAATCAGATACCTAAACCACTGAACTATCCAGCCAGATACCACTGTGTAAATATTTAATTCTACACCAAGGGGTTTCTCACAGTTTGGTGTTCAGCTACAGGCAATTTGTCATATATTCTAGTTTTGTTTTAAAATTTTATGGAAGATTGGAGCACTTCTGGAAAAAGAGCTGATTATCATTCTGAAGAGTCTTAGAAACATCACTGTAAGAGAGAAGTATGAAGGAAGCAGTTACCACTATAGCACAGTTGATTACTGAAGAGTCTTAGAAACATCACTGTAAGAAAGAAGTACTATGAAGGAAGCAGTTACTACTATAGCACAGTTGATTGCAAATACTGTATTAGTTGCAGAAATCAGTAATGTAGCAGAAAATACTGATGAAGGTTAAAGACGGAAGTGAAAATTAGTCGAATGTTAAGACTAAAGCAGTGACAACAGAAGGCATATATAACTTTAATGTTATTAAATGCAGAAATTGGAGTTGTTATACCTTGGTCTAATAATCAGTCCAAATGGAAACTGCAGTTTAGAAATCTGAAGACTGACAGCTGTGAAGAAACTAGAAAAGATCCTTCAGTAAAAAGAAGATCATCCAAACTGTGTTGTTCCTAACTACTATGAATGGATGTAAAATCTGGAGAATGAAAAAAAATGACACGGGGAAAAACTGACTTGCTTGAAATTTCATGCCAGAGAAAACCTTTATATGTGGTTTATGAGAAGAAGAAGAAAAGAATTGAAATCAAGCCTGAATTCTCACTAGAACTCAAAATGACAAAATTTAAGCTATCGGGCTTTGGACATAACATGAAAAGACAAGACAGAATGAAAAAGTGCTGGGAATAATGCAAGACAGTATAAAAAGAGGACGTAAGCAGAAGTAGATTGACTTCACAAAAGAAGCCACACCCTTTCACTCGCAAGAACTGAATTAATTCATGAGGGCACCATAAGTTGGATGCCACATAGCAAGTGTAAAGTTATCACCATCCCATTCTTGTATTGGATTTTAATTTGATGAATGCTTTAATGCTAAAAAAATTTTCTTGTCTCAGGTATAATTTGGTAAAGGATTCAGATTCTCATTATTCCTATTCTGCTTTTATCCTAAACAAATTGCTTCTTACTGTCAAACGTAAAGCAACGAGATCTAGTTCTGTACTTTCCAGGAAAACACTTGGGGTTTTGTTTTGGGGTTTCTTTGTTGGCCTTTGACGGTTTCCCATGCAAATTTCAACTAAAAAGAAGGGGAAGTGGGAGAAAAGTACACTGTTCTTTTGTGGTGATGAATGGAGACTTCCATTTCCCTTGAATTTTCTTTGACAGAAGACTTTGTCTTCTTTGGAGAAAGAATGGTAAACACCTTACTGTTTAGGGACTTTTTTCTCTGTTTGTATTGGGAGCCAGCAAACTTGATTTGTGTAAATCTCATGCTAGCTACTATGCTGATCTTTAAAATGCTGGTTCTAGACCATATCTTTCATTTGTGGAGCTTTAATCTATAGTGTGAACTCCTTGACTTGCAAGGGCAACAAGCTGCCTTTTGTGGAGGGTTGATTGACGCTGGATGTGGGGCTATAACAGCAGCACCCAGTGGTCCTTGGAAATGTTATGGTAAATTACATATGAGAGACATAAACCAGTTTGTCATATCTGGAAAATAGCCGGTCACATTTCCTTAAGGCAGTAGAATTATATGTTTGCTTTGTCCCTTTAGTCGTCTTCTAGTGGTTTTTAGATTCCCTTTATTCATCTTCTAGTTGTTTTTATATGAGCAGTCAGACAAAGCAGAACCACCAGAATAACTTCTGTACTATGGAATGAAAGAAGATTGTAGAGAAGTGAACAAAAGCCACCAGAAGAGCAACTGATGAGCCAAGCTTTCAAGGCTGCCTGCAGTCTGGAGTTCAGCTGTTCAAGATTCCTTCCATAGAAAGACTTTGTTGTTCAATTTACCTTCATTCCGTTTCCCAGCTCTCAGGAGTTAAGCTTCAGTTACCTGCTTTTATGAGTTTGTAAAACAGTCTGGAGGGTGGAAATTGTGCAGCTGTTTACATGATCTACTATTCATTTTCTCTGTCTTCTGTTTAGCCCTTATCTCTAAAAGAGCAAAGACATTGCGTTATACATATCCTCTTGCTTGATTTTTTTAAAGAGATGATTACTACAAGTGCCTTATTTTAAAAGTTGCCACAGTGATTTTGGTTTTGTCTTTTTTAAGTGAAGAAGGAGAGCTTCTGGTTTAATGACTTAAGGTAGAAAAAGTGCAGGGTAAACCCTGAAATCATTTGGTGGCTAAGGCAGTCTCACATATGAAGAGATAATTCTTGTGGAGGAAGTCCCCATAGTAGCTTGCATTAGGCTGACATTTCACTAAGCACACTTGTTCAGTTCCAGTAATGCCATGGTGTCACATGTTCCCTGACCAGTCATGTTGAAAGAAACAAAAACATACCTTTAAACGTAGTACTGAGTCATTAAAAACAACCGCCATTTATGATACTAATATTAAGAATTTGGAAACTTGTTTTTTACCAGCCCTGAGGTCAGAGATTTTTGGCCCCACTATTCATTAGTTAAGTGATTTAAACATGATGAATTTTTGCAGTGATGAAAGTATTTTTTTTTTCAAATTGGCTTTTTAGTGGGATTCCCAGTGGATAAAGTTATAAACTAGGACTATAGAGAACAGAGTTCAAATCCCCACTCAGCAGTGGAAACTCACTGGTGAAGTGGAACTGGAAAAACCTTAAATATCTCTGTTACCTTGAAAACCCTGTTAGAGTCACTTTAAGTTGGTTCTGACATGACAGCACAAAACATCAGCAGTGGGCCTTCTAGTGATAAGTATTTAAACCTCACAATGCTTTGAAAACTCATGCTAACAGTATTCAGATTCAGAACTCAATTTCATTCTCATGAACACAGGCATTCTTTTCTGTTGCCGCTGAGGTGGAATTCCATGCCATTCAGTCTAGAGATCTAGGTATGATATCCGTTTGCTAGTTGTCTATGTGCAGATGTAACTTGACACTAGCAATCTTATTTTTATCAGTACTTGATGCAAAGGACATACCAAACAAATGTTCTACAATGTTTTACGTTAAGTATTTCTTACAAACCACTATTGAGAGTTTAGAGCTGGGTCAGCTGAACAGCTCAAGGCAGATGACTGGTTTCACATTTTATAAATGCCAAGAAGACAGTAAGAGCTGATTCTTTAGAATTTTCACTATTAATTTCTTCCTTCTACTGTGTGCTTTATATTCCTTGAGAATCTTGACTTCATTTGAAAATGTCTTTCTAGTAAAGGCAATGTGTATCAGAGGTCTGTATCTTAAAAAATGAAATATGCAGCCCTTACGATGGCAAGGGCTACCTAGCAGTCTGTTTTCTGTGCCTGTTAGCATACATGAAGCTGTTAGGTTACCACATCCAACTTTCCAGTTGAGCCAAATTGGCACCTGACACATAGAGAATTCATGGCAATAGAGCATAAAGATACCAGCCTTTGCTTGCTCCCCAGATGCGATTTGTGTTTCAGAAAGCTAGAAGATTTCCGACACAGTTCTCTCAATAGAAATATGCTAAAAATATGAATTTAAACGGCCTTGGTTGGGTGAATATATGAAGAGGAGAAATTGTACCAGCTTTATGAAGAAGTCAGCATTGCTTCCTCTCACTACAAAGCAATGAGCAAATGTAGTTACAGCAAAGTGTTTGCTTCTTTTTGCCTCAGAAATAATTAATCTGCCATCTGCATTATTTCCTGTTTGTTTCCTTTGACAGATTGTTCAGTTTGACCTTGAAAAAGCTCATCATGCTGAAGGAGATGGATAAAGATCTAAACTCAGTGGTGATTGCAGTGAAATTGCAGGTATCCATCTTGAAGGCGCAAAGGGGTTCTTTGGGGAAAAACTCGTTTTCCTTTGTCTTCATGTTTGGTTCCAAATTTTCCAGAACCTGCTATACCTAGCATCCAAAAGCAGAAGAGCGACACATGGGCTATATAGTTTCCTGTGTACTGTTTAAGCACCTAAGTGTCAGAGAGGTGAAGGAACAGGAACACAGAGTATGATACTATGTATATAACATTGTGTTTCTGAAGTGATTGCCGTTCCCTTCATCTCACTCTGCTTCCATCTATGGGGGAAAGTACTTCAATTAGGGGATCACAGGATCTTTTCCAGCTCAGTAAGTAGGGAACATAGACCCAGCTACCTGCCCTAACTTCTGCTTCTGTTGCTTCTACAGAGGGCCAAAGATGCCATGTGGGATCCTTGAGCACCTCCCATGGGGAAACAAAGTGCTCCTGGGTGTGAGGTTTATCTTGTCTCTCTGTTGTTTTCCTTTGGAACAGACGCAATGTCTGATTTCCAGATTTGAGCTTGCAGTTGATTGTATGGGCATCAGTGTGATGTAGGGGTTGAGTCTTCCAGTGAGATGACACTCGCTGACATTGACCTCCTTTCCAACTTCTACATGGATCTCAGAATAAGTCAGATCCCTGGATCAGTGAAGTTGGTGCTGCTGTCCTTGTTCCTGCGGTGTGTTCTTTGGAGTTGTTATGATCTCAGCCAGAGTAGCCAGCTTCAAATCCCCATGCTTGAAGACTAAAAGCTGTTAAACGTGCCTTTTGTAGGGTTCAAAGAGGATCCTGAGATCCAACGAGATTGTGTTGCCAGTCAGTGGACTTGTGGAAACAGAGCTGCAACTGACCTTCTCTTTACAGGTAAGTGCATTTCAACTCCATGCTGGTGCTTTGAGATGTAGAGTATACTGTGCTTTGCAGCAGGGAGCTTTGTGCACAGATATTTCTCAAAACATTTGTGAGTAAAAGAATATTCTAAGGAGATCTTGATAGTGGCAATCCTAGCTTTGGCAAGTATGTTGTTTTATAGTATTTGTTGCCATAACAGAGCCTGACTGGCTTGTGGGAACAGTTCCTAAGGGTATCCTCAGCAACTGCTACTGAGTTTGCTCTTGACTAACTTGTGTGACATGGAACAGCGCCGTGTGTAAAAATATCAAAGACTAGGACATGAACTATTTTTCATGAACTTTTGTGAAGTTTTTCAGGCACACAGAGCAGCCATTCTCAGCCTTTTTTTTGCCATGGCCCTTTTAGGAGTTCTTCTCAGGTTCCAGAGCCCCCTGTCACACCAGGACACAACACAAACAGATGAATCGAAAAACAGAATAGACCATTTCCCAGTCTGTGGCCCCCTTCAAATGCGCCAGGGGCCCCACTGAAAATGACTGCTGCAGAGAGTAATTTTAGTACACAAACATGGGAAGGAGGGGCATATGAAAAAAGTGAAAGCTCTACTAAAGCAGCATCAGTCTTGCAACCCTATCCCATGATCCCCTTCTGAGCAATAAGAGTGTTGAACGTGGAGCATATACTTGGAGGAGCTTTGGATGCTCCAATTTTCACTCCCAGTCGTCTCTGACAGCTTGATGCACAGTATGGTGCATAGAGAAGCCACTCTAAAGTTTCTCTACTTGACTTATTTTTCCCAGCAAGAAGTTTAATAACTGTAAAGTACCTGGGGATTTTTAAAGGAAGGTTGTTGTGAAATTGGAAATGTTACTACACCCACACTTCCCATCTCCTTGGGAAGCAGCGCCACATTTTACCTGCTGGGTGCCTAATGTGTTATCTTTTCAGTAATATGAGATATTCATGTAATGTGCTTAAAGGCAGCTGTCCAATGGATTTCTTCTCCTTCCCACTTTCCTCCAGAGGAAGCATTGAACTCTTTTTCTTTCACACTTGTTATCGTCACTGCTTGGGGTGGAGGGTTACCTTTTTAGCGCGTTCGAAATGTAGATATGAGATAAGGGAGAATGAATTTCTGTTATGCTTCTCCCCTTCTTTGTGACATTCAGTCTATTTGCTAAGCTGTTTGGATGATTGGGAAGGTAGAGCTGAATCTGGTTACTTTGGAGAATGTTTGTGAACAACAGGTTTTTCCAGAACAACTGAGGCGGTGCCTGTTTCTGGGCCCAGCTGTCTCTGGGGAAAAGCAAGATTTTGTGCTGCCCAGTCTTGCAGTCCATGCCTGTTATGCCAATGATGCGACTGCCCTTGACCGTTTCTTTCTAAGAAACAACAGGCAACTAAGCAGTGATGTAGAGTGCATCCATTCTTGTCTCAAAATCTATGAACATTTATTCCAGTATCTCCTCATTTGAGCACATTAAATGCATAAGAGTATAGGTTTCAAACTGGTTTTTCACTGCTTTGGGTAATAGTTTTGTCAGCACATCAGATTGTTGAAATTAATGATTTTTTTAAAATTTAAAAATCAGATTTAAAAAATTTACATCAGCTTTTTTTTATTTAAATCAAATTTATTTTAATGAAATGCTTTTGGAAGAAAAATCTATGTAAAGATAGTTTTCTGTTTAAGATACATTATAGTTCAAAGGTTATTCAGCATGAAATAGAGCTTAGTTTTGTAGCATGAGGCTATATATTCATGCAGTATTTACATTTTTGGTAAACTAATTCAGTTAATCCAAGCTGAGATAACATGCAGTTTTTCACACTAAATATGGTATAAAATAAACAAAGTTCAGGAAAAGACATTAATCCTGTTGGTTGTTTTGCAGATCTGTATACAAACAATGAACTCATTATCTTAAATTCTAGTTTTGAAGATAGTTTGGAGTGATATACATGTAGTGAAATCTTCATCTGGTTGCAAATATTAAAGATTATAACTGTAATCAAGAATGTGTCTTTAGATTTAAAAGTCATGATTTAAATTGAGTCTTACTGACGTGACTTGGTTTAAATCAAATCCACTCTGGTCAGTAAGGATTATGTGTATTTGAAAATACTTGGTAGACGGCACTGTTTTGAAGCTATCTGTTGTGACCTCCCAATATGATATAGAAACAGATCAGTGTTCTGAACAAATATTTTTCTGGTCAGGAGTCTGAAAGCTTACAGTTTGTGCTGGAATTTGGCTTTTTGAAAGATCCTAACATCCCCGTTTGCTTTCCTCACTATGAGACATGGCTCTTCTGCGTATGTTTGGCCTGCTGCCTGTTTGTACGCCACTTCCTTTGGTTTCCTTTTGCAGTATCCTCACTTCTTGAAGCGCGACGCCAACAAACTGCAGATCATGTTACAGAGAAGGAAACGGTATAAAAACAGGACCATTCTGGGCTACAAAACTTTGGCTGTTGGCCTTATCAACATGGCTGAGGTGAGACGAAAGGACAGGCTACCAGGCTTTTGGTGGAAATTAGTAGAGGTGCCTATTGCAGATGCCAAGTAGATCTGTGAGGGGGACTGGGTTTTTGAAGCGGTTCCTTTCCCCCGAAATTGTCTGTGCACCCCATCTTCACTTTTCTGTTTAGTTCTTCATAATAGGAGTGAGCTTTTAGATTTGGGTTTAGGTTGGGGCACGCTTCATGCTGTGACAAATTTATGATACCTTTATATTTTTGCTAGATGGCAGTCATTTGGAAGATTGTCTTTAATGTTGCCAACCTCACTTTTGGGTTCTGTAGCTTTCTGGAGATGCTGTCAGGTGTTGCAACCCCTTCATTATCATGGTTCTCCTCGCGGATTAAGGGTTCTGGGTCTGTTTTAAAACAGCCATCTGCTTTTTGTTTTCTAGGTTATGCAGCATCCCAACGAAGGGGCCCTGGTGTTGGGACTCCACAGCAATGTGAAAGATGTTGCCGTCCCTGTGGCTGAAATTAAAATATACTCTCTTTCCAGTCAACCAATAGATCATGAAGGGCTCAAATCAAAATTATCTGGTAAGAACCATCCTGCTTTTTTTTTCCTATATGGACCTAAGCTGGCTCACAACCTAATTTTTTTTAAATGATGAATAGTTTAAAACACTATAAATTATAGTTTATACAACCTTTTACACAAGTCATTGCATTAAAATCACTCAGAATAAACAGAGCTAAAAACTCAAGAACAACAAAAAAAGAAAGACTTCACCGACCGTTAAAAAGGTTCATGTGGCTTATAATTCTTGTGTACATTTCTGAATTTCGAGCAGTTCTAGCAGCTGAATGGGACAGGTATAAGAGAGAGTCCTTGAGAATAACCGGCAAAATGAATAGTATGGGACGGAATAGTATGGGAAACTCCAAGTCTCTAATGCATGCATTAGTTCCTACACGGTGTAGAGAGGTCTCGCTGCTTCCCTTGTGAGTCAGGGAAGTGGTCATCTTCCACCATGCTGGGAATCAAATTGCCCCCCTGCTTGCAACATTGATGCCGCACACACAATAGAAGTGAAGGAGGGTTCACAACAGACTGGCTTACAGCTGCTGCTCGGAAGACTGTGAGGTGACTCATTTGTCTTAATGTGTGTAATTTACAAGAAAGCAACCCCAATGTTCTTTGGATTCTAGTTCAGTAATGTCTCCTTTTTAAAAAAAAAAACAGCCTTGTTTTGACAATCCAGCTTAATACCTTCAAACACTGCTATATTTAGACTTGCATCTTGGAATTCTCAGCTTTATGGTACTGGCTGCTTAGGCAATAAATCTGGTTGCTAGGGAAACTGATGGAGATGTAGGCTCCCTGCTGGATTTATGCTGATATTTTGATTTATTACCAGTAGTGTCATGAGTGACCGGATGTGAGAGAAAGCAAGCTGAGAAATGAGATGAAATCATCGCTCTGCCCCAGTGCTGTTTGTACATTTAGCTGAAAAGAATAGAAATGGCCCACTTAGATGGAAAATATTTCATTGTAGGGGAGCAGACCACAACAGGCAACTGAATAAACTCTCCTACAGATTGATATGGTTAAATTGGTCCAGACTTCTGAAAAATTATGGTAATTTTTGCTTTTTGTTAGAGGAGAGAGAGAGAGAGATGTGTGTGGCATACATCTATGTATGGGTGTATTTCTGAGGCAGGTATCCTTTATCTTCCTCCCAAATAACCTTTGAAGCAGGTTTAGCAGAGAGCAAGCAGGAGATTCTAGTCTAGGGTCTTGCAAGAGAGCTTGATGGTGAGGCAGGGATTTTAGTCTGTATCTCACCAGTTCCCATCTAGTAGTCTGTGAATGATGATGAGACTTCACTGCTACAAACAAGGTTGGGTTTGGTCACTTCTGTAACCTGTGATTGTGAGATGTAATACCTCCTTTGCAAATAGATTTCACTGATGAGAGCCTGGGCATGTTTAGAATGATTTGGGAGCAACGTTCCTTCTAATTATGGGGCTCTACCCCTCGTGCGTGTGACCAGAACCAAAGGGACTGAAAACAATGGCAGTTGGTGTGTGGAAGGGTGTAGAGTTGCGTGCGTGCAGGCGTGCACCTTATAGAGAACCTTGTTTGCGATCATAGCTACACAGTAAATGTCAGACTAGAGATGGTCTGGAGATTCTTCCACAAGACGAAGAGTAAAATGTACAACAAACACTGAAACTTGGCTTTGGGAATGCACGGTTATACTGTGCAGCACAGACTCCTGTGCCTTTAACTGAAACTGCTGTGGAATGTGGATTTATTGCTCAACCTTGAATACTGGTTTAAGATTGATGAGAAACCAAGTCTGGAATTTTTTTTGGTTGGAAAGGGGCTATTAAAGCCGATGAATAAAGACCAAGAAGTCGTAAAACACTTGAAGTGCAGAAAGCTAGAATACTTTTGTTCAACATTGAGAAGTGAAACTTGCAGATTGCCACCGCAATAAGTGAGAAGAGAAGTATAAGAGGGAGAAGAATTTCCTGGCAGCAGAATCTTAGAAGCTGGTTTAACATGTATTTGAAATTTATATGGTGCCTTAGAAACTTTTCCCCCAATGTTAACATTTGCTAGGTGGGCAGAGAAGACTTGATTGTGATGAAGAAACATTCTAGCTATTGAAGCCTGATCTTGACATTCCATTGGACAGTATTCCTCTAATATGAGAGTATACGTTTCATTATCTAACAGCTATTTCTCAGAGTAAAAGAGAGAAAAAAAGCTGAGTAGAATGTTAAAGCTCACTTGGATTGTCAGGTCACATGGCTCGCTCATTAATGTGCTGGAAAGGCGGAAGGGGAGCACTGTTTTTGCCCAGCTTATCTTGAGAGAGTATATTCATTGTGAAACTTCTGTTTAAAGTGATGGTTCAAGTATAGTTTTATACTTAGTCTTCCTGATCGTTTCCGCTGCATGTCCTGAGCTTAAGCTGTCGGCACTACATATTGGATTGGATTTGACAGACGGGTGTCTCAAGTTGTGCCGTTTTACTTGTAAACCGCATCCCTGGGAATGAACGATGAATTGTCAGTCTGATGAGAAATATCAAGTCTGAGAGTACCCAGGAAGGATGTGAAGATGCAGTGATTTCCAGACCTACTTGAACTGGTTGATCAAATTTGAATCGACCTTTTGGTTGAGGGTTTAACACAAAACGGATTTCACAGGGCTGGTTTCTTTATGATCCAGCGAATGCAAGTTCTCCAGGGATGACCAGAAGGTTTGCAATATATTTTTGATCTGGGACTCCTAATGTGATAGTATGCAAATGTACGGCATTTGGTATTTTTGCCAATTCAGAATACTTAAACCTGACCTATATGTGCAGTAGAGCAAAACGGTTGAATCATGAAATGGCCAGAGCCAATTGTTACCACTTCAGACAGCAGGAGAGGGGAGGCTTTTAAAAAAATGCTTCCCCACATGATTTTACAAGAACATTAGAGTAACCCCTACTTTTCTGCAAGTAGAAAATAGCATTCAAGGACAAGACGCTCCTCCTCAGATTAGCTTTCTCGCAACAGCTGCAGTGGAATGCTTTCGCCTCAGAACTAGTGTTCAAATATTGAAACAAAAATACATTTATTAACAAGGAATCTTTAAGGAAGATGACTTCTAATGGATCAGTATGGATTTGATTTAAATTGAATTGAATGAAAATTTAAAAACCCAGATTTTTGTTTTTTTAAATTTAAATCATGATCCAAACCAATTTTTAAAAATTGATTTTTATCAATTTTCTGATAGATTCTCCCTCTCTTGTACAGTATATTACAGTATTTATCAAAGGGCTCAGCCACTTCATTTTATTGGAATTATCTTCCAGGGGTGTGTGCATTTTTAACATATTACAAGGAAGTTCTTTAGTGATCTAGCACACTGGTTCTTAACCTTGGGTTACTCAGGAGTTTTGGACTGCAACTCCCAGAAGCCTTCACCACCAGCTGTCCTGACTGGGGTTTCTGGGGGTTGCAGTTCAAAAGCATCCGAGTAACAAAGGTTAAGAGCCACTGATCTAGCACATGGGACTCTCAATTTTCTTGACATATAAAATATGTAAACATAGTGCATGGTGACAAATGGGGACGGGCAGTGGAGGGTGAGATGCAGATCCTCCTAATGGAGGAAGGATAGCCTTCCTTCCACAATCAAACTGTTATACGGCACTGTCTTTGTACATTCTTTTCTCTTGTAAACATAGTGCATGGTGACAAATGGGGGCGGGCAGTGGAGGGTGAGATGCAGGTTCTCCTAATGGAGCAAAGATAGCCTTCCACAATCAAACTGTTATACGGCACTGTCTTTGTACATTCTTTTCTCTTGATTCTCCACACTGGGGCAAGTTGGCTTCAGTTGTGTATATGAAAATACTTTACATTTCTGTCTTTTAGATCGCTCCCCTGATATTGATAATTACTCAGAAGAAGAGGAAGAGAGCTTTTCTTCTGAACAAGAAGGGAGTGATGACCCACTGCATGGACAGGTAAGCTTTCCATTCACCTAGCTAACTCCTTCTTCTGCGAGGATTGAATGTGGATAGCTCAACAGTAAAAATTTCTAAAAGAGGACTTCTAACGGAGCTGAGGAATGTTTGCACCTACCCACCCGTGACCACTCCCAAGTTCCTGTTTCTCCAAAGGAGTAATTTTAAGGGAAAACCATGTGAGGAAAATTGCACACTTCAAAAACAAGACGTTGGCTAAAGCTGTTCAAGAGAGAACAAAGTGTAACGCAGGGGACTTCTAATGGCAAAAATCTATGGAAGCGAGCTAATGGAGAAAGAAGGCTTTGTGAATTCAAGAGGCTGAGAGGGCAGAGGCTACCCAAACAGCTTTTTCTAGTGTTGGCCATATAAAGAGTCCTCAGACTTCTCACTGGTGTTGAGAAAAATGCCCCGAGTCAAGCTCACAGCCCCTTTAGAGCCTTGTCAAAATTCAGACTCAAATTGGTAAGGGGCTGAGATTTTGCCCCATTTTGGAGAGCCCAATGTTGAATTTGTTTTCATCAACTTTTTCAGAATAGTCATCCATTGCGCATGTACAGTTGTGCTGTTTAGGACTGTGGAGTTGGGCGCTGCTTGCTTTCTGAAGCAGCTGGTCCATCTCTTTCCCCATAGGATTTGTTTTATGAAGAGGAAGACCTGAGGAAAGTCAAGAAGACTCGGAGGAAACTGACCTCAGCTTCTGCAATTACTCGGGTGAGTGGTGTCGAAAGAGGGCTCTTGCCCGCGGGAGGGGTCCTGGTCCAGCCTCCCTTGTTTTATCTGCCATTCCACTCTGCCATAAACAAGCATAATTACATGATTGTATTTCCATTGATTTGGAAAAAATTGTTCACATGATTGGAGAGGAACATGTGGCTCACACAGTACTGTATATGAAAATTTAAAGGTCTGCTGGTTTGCATGCATTTGATGCTTTCCGGTCAGAGCAGTCTCCTCTTCCCCTCCACCACCACCCCCCCGCTGCGATATAGCCTTACCTGCCTGGTTGACTCTTGTTCCACTGCCAAGATACAGACTTGCCAGCTGGCCTTTGCTGACTTTGGATACTATGCCCCAAAATATGTAAGTTTGTTTACGTGCACTTAGATTTATTCTGGACTATTAAACCCTTGCGAGCCCCTTCTGTTTGACAGGATAATCACTTTGTTGAGAGAGGATGTAGGAGGCAGTTCTTTGACTTCTCTTGTACTACACAAACATATACATCATGTGCAGATGCAGGTGCCGTGCACCCATAATCCACCACAGCACATTTATGTGCTGCAGTCCTCAGTTCCTCCTCACATCTCTTCTCTCTAGGCCAGCAACTTAGGAGCAAGCTGGTATGTCTTGCAGCTGCTTCCAGTTCTCGGTTCTTGAATTGCAATGTGGAGTATTTGCTGAAGGCCAGATTCTCGGTTTTTACTACTACTACTACTACTTTCGTCATTGTCGTTTAGTTGTGACCGACTCTTTGTGACCCCATGGACCAAAGCACGCCAGGCCTTCCTGTCTTCCACTGCCTCCCGGAGTTGTGTCAAATTCATGTTGGTTGCTTCGCAGACACTGTCCAGCCATCTCATCCTCGGTCGTCCCCTTCTCCTCTTGCTGTCACACTTTCCTAACATTGTTTCTTACTTTGCAAGTCAATAATTGTTTAGGAACACCCTGTAATTATCAGGTAGAATAAAATTACCCTCCAAGTAGGCTCACATAAGTGAAACAGAAGTGTGAAAATGTCACTTTCATAACTCAAGAAAGCAGCAAATGTATTATGGGATGTAAATTTTGTTTGTATGTGTGTGTGATAGTTTCAGAGCTCTGTGCTGTACTTTTAAAGTATTTCAGCAGCTGAAATGCAGTAGCCAAGACAGCTTGTGATAGAGACAACGGTTGGTTCATTACCAGCTTCCCTCTACCTCTGGCAGTAAAAGCAGACCTTTCAGGTGGCCTTGATTCACTTGTAAATTAACCACTTCCACATTGTTTTCTTCCCCCTCCCCCTTTGTCCCCAGTAAATTTGTCTGCATTGCTCTTTAATGCTGAGCTTTAAATGCATGTCTTTGAGCACTACCTTTTTTGGGCTGCCTTCATGAAATACTCCCACGGTGAAGCTGAACCCCTGAGCGAGCCACACTCTGGTCAGGTTTTGCAAGCTAAGCAGGCTTGCTCTGGGTGTCAAGAGGTCTGCAGAGATGGGTGTTTGGGCAACTGCAAGCCTTCTCCCTCTTCTGGCCTATCTCCCTGTGTTTCCCTCGACAGGCCACTCGCCTCCTTGTTACCCACTTCAGTGGACAGAAGTACATGGGCTTCGTGCATAGTCTTTTGTCTCTGTGTCCCAACTGCATATTGCTATGATGTTCTGGCATATCTGCCCCAATCATGTCCATCATCTGCTATGACACAAATGCTTGAGTTGTGGAGTCCCTTTTGTATTGCTTATCTCTTGAGTGATAAGGTTAGCTTTTTAGGTTAGCTTTTTTAAAATGTGCTTTACTTTTCCAGCGTATATAAGAGAGTGCACGTGCCTGACATAGTTGCTCCGTAGATGTTTTTCTAACAGGTAAATGGTCCCTCTTTTTCACAGCAGCCAAATATTAAACAAAAGTTTGTGGCTTTACTGAAGAGATTCAAAGTATCGGATGAGGTAAGTATTGGCTACATTTATTACACCTCTTTTCCCATAGCTGTAATTTCTGCTTATGTTGCAAAACTTGTAGAAAATAGCCACATTGCAACAAAATTGGTATAAAATGTAGCCAGAAGTGTTCTAATGGGAAGAACTCAAGCTTGGTAGCATTAGGTCCTGGGTTTCAGTCTTTTCCCTTCCAGCTAGGGCTGGGATAGACTAACACCCTGGAGAACCGCGTCCAATAAGCTTTTGCAACAATGGTTCCTAACCTTGGGTTCTCAGATGTTCCTGGACAAAACTCCCAGAAGCCTTTTCACCGCTATTTTTGCTGGCCAGGGTTTCTGGGAGTTGTAGTTCAAGAATGGAATGGCCTCTATCATTATCAGAGGTTCCTTTTTTTCTTCTAGAAACTATGGTTTGAATTTGTATATTTGTGCCACTGTGGAATAAAATGTTAGTCTAGGAGTCAATTCAAATCACCTTTTGAGCATGAAAATTTACTATGGATTGTCCATGGTAAACCACTCCTTAAATGTCTTACAAACCTCAAAAAAGCTATGAGGGTCCCCATAAGTCGGAAAGGATTTGTTGGCCCATGGACAACAGCAAGCTGTGCCTGCAGACGGAGAAAAACTCTTCCAGCTCCCCCGCTGGAATCGCATTCTGCAGTTACAGAGTAGGTCGCTTCTCTATTCGGACTGATAATTACGATACCCGAGGCAATATCGTTTTCTGCCTGCAATCTGAAAATAGATGGAGAATCTGCCTGCAGTTTCCAGGCAGAACAGTTTGGCTGGCTTAATAATGAGGTCATGAAAGCGTTGGCTTAGATCAGTGGTTCTTAACCTTTGTTACTCAGATGCTTTTGAACTGCAACCCCCCAAAACCCCAGTCAGCACAGCTGGTGGTGAAGGCTTCTGGGAGTTGCAGTCCAAAACTCCTGAGTAACCCAAGGTTACGAACCAGTGGCTTAGAATATGCCGGACATTGCAGGGTAACTGAATGAGAAGTAACTCCTCTAAGAAGAAGCAGATGAAATCTGGATAGTGCTTAATGACTGGGAAGAAATAGTACATCCCAACAGTTAAGCTTTTCTCGAACAGGTTGGCTTTGGCCTTGAGCATGTTTCCAGAGAGCAGATCCGGGAGGTTGAGGAGGATTTGGACGAGCTCTATGACAGCTTGGAGATGTACAACCCAAGCGACAGCGGGCCCGAGATGGAAGACACAGAGAGCATTCTTAGCACACCAAAGCCAAAACTCAAGTAAGTGCAGCTGGAGAGGCTGCTGCTCTCTCCTTTGTAATGCTTCTCTTTCTGTGGAAAGCCTCTCAGGCTTGAGTGGATTGAAGCCTTGCTCTTTTACCCCAAGAGGCCTTTTTTGTTTGACTAAGAATGGTGAAGAAGCAGTGGGAGATTGGTGCTATTCGATCTGTGGGGCTTTTGACCCATGAATCAGCCCTTGAGACAGAGTACTGTCCAGCTGTCTGGGCAGCACTATTTCAGTCCTCACCTTTGGAGTCCTCCTTCTCGGCGCTTCAGGAAAAAAGAACAGTTCCCCTGTGAGAGCCGACTATCCCACTTGTCACCCTCCTTGGGTTCAACATACTGCTGACCTGCAACAGGGGTTGGCTTGGAAGCAGCAATTTAGATTAGGTCAGTGGATAATGGCCATGCCCGTCCGGCCTCTGCCTTGCCACCCTGAAATTCAGAAACATGAAAATAAAAAAACTTCCAAGATTTTTAGGAGGCCAAATGTTATGGCAAATAGAATGTGTATGTTGTGGGGGGCCTCACCTTACGTCCCACCTCGTGCAACATCGGCCTTGCCACCCTGAAATGCAGAAACGTGAAAATAAAAAAAACTTCCAAGATTTTTAGGAGGCCAACAAATAGAATGTGTATGTTGTGGGGGGGCTCACCTTACGTCCCACCTCGTGCAACGTCTGAGTGGCTGAATAGAGTGGAGCATGCTGGCACCCATCGCAGCCAGAATGTAATAGAAGAAAGGAGAGGTGGACTTGTACGTAACAGCAAGAGTGTCTATCTTTGAGCTGCCTTCCAGGATGGCATGTCCTTTTCCACTGTACCCACTAATGGAGCTCTGTGAACAACCATTATGTTCCAAAAATGGCTCACTCATTTGAAGAGTGTGGAAAATTGAAAGCAGGAGAGGTGAACTTGAAGCTTCCTGGCTTTAAGAATTAACTGTTCTCTCTTTTCCTTTATTTCTACAGAATCATTTTAGAGGTTAGCTTTTAAATGGGTTTTAATCTTTGTGGCTAGATCATGTGACAACCCTGGCAAAAACAGTCCTCCGCCTCATCAGCCGAGGGTGGTGGTGTCTCCAAGAGGCCTTGTGGATTCCTTTTTTTAAAAAAAACTCAGACAGTCCAAACCAGATGTCTTCCATCCCCAATTCCTTTGAGTCCCATATGTGGAAGAAAAGGTGCTTGAGAAGTCAGCTTAAAAAATAGTTAGGTTTGTGAGGCATATTTCTATGGAAACCAGGAAGAAACCGCTTGAGTGAGTTAGGTCTCTGCCTGCAGAGCCAAAAGTTGAGAGTTTGATTCCCCACTGTGCCTTCTTGACAAGGACTGGGTTCAATGGGAGTCCCTTCCTGCTTATAGATTATAAATACCTGCCCATTGGCAATTTTTTAACAAGTCATTGGACTTGACCTCCCGCCACAAAAAACGGTGGAGAGAGAAAAGGACACAGAACAAATTTATGAAGAGTATTTGTATCCTGCCTCTCTAAGCCAAAGAAAGTTAATGATATTACAGAGAGATTTATACCGATGAGGCTGCTGCAATAATGAAACGACAGAAGCATAATGCTCCTCAATTAATCAAAAACAGATGAATCAATTAAGCAGCAGTAGACTGAGAACAAAGTAGCAGAAATAATAGCGCCCAGCCAGAGAAAGTGGTTGCATCCGACTCAGAGAATCCCAAGTCTCCTCTGGAAAAAAAATCAGGCAGAAGGCTGAACAAAAGGGACTGGTGTGAACCTCCAGGCCTTTGTGTCACTGTTGGAGAGCTGTGTCTCGATTGTCCCCCTGGTGTTGCCCCAACGTGTCCAACAGTGGGGAGACTCTAAGCTGTGCCTCCAAGGGAGATCTTCAATGGTAGTGGAGGCTCTTGAGGAGAGATACAGCAGCGGTCTGGCTCTTCTGGGCTTGAAGGGCTTCAGAGCCGGGACAGAGAACATACCCCGACTCTGTGTTTAGCTGACAGGGTTCCATTCTTCCTTCAATAGGGAATGTGAGAGTGAAAGTGGGTTGTCGGGTGGAATCTTCCCTTCCCTACAGTCTGGACCGGCAGGAGCAGTCATAGTGCTGTCTTTGGAAAAGTATTCCAGCTGCTGGAGAGAGGATCCATTTTGGTCCAAGCAGTAGGACACACCCGAGAACATCAGGGCCCTTCCCATGTCCTGGATTCTTTCTCAGGAGACTCCCTTCCTGTCCCTGAGAAATCAGAGTTCTCGGTGGAGGGGTCTTTTTGATCAAATAGTAGAATGGAGTCAGATTAAGAGGAGTCGTGTACGAAGGTGCAAATGGGAAGGGAGCCAGGGCCTGATTCCTTGATGCTCTCCAGTCTTGTATCTGGATGTGGAAGCTATACCCTCTGCCGGTAGGCTTCTCTACTATGGCTTGGTTTCCCTTTTATTAAAAAAAATTATTTATCTCATGCTCTGGGAAAGAGAAAGCTTAACCAGATTTTCCTTTCAGCTGAGGGCAGCTCAAATAGGATTGAGATGCTCCTCTTGCGGTATTATTTTCCTTGGTAGGTACCTGAAACAAAATCAGAGCTGTTTGGAAACAGATGAACATTGCAAGCCATCCATTCCAGAAAGCAGTTGTTGTTTCCCCATCTGCTAAGGGGTTGGAAGGCTGTGCAATAAAAGCACCGTTGCTTGATCCACCCGCTCACTCCCTGGCATTCCTGCCAGGACACGTTCCACAGCCAGCCTTTCTTCTCGGCCGCAGCCAGTTTACTGCTCTGTTCTGTTCTAGGCCTTTCTTCGAGGGAATGTCACAGTCAAGCTCCCAGACTGAAATTGGAAGCCTGAACAGCAAAGGGAGCCTCGGCAAGGATGCCACCAGCCCAGTAAGTAGTGATGGGGAAGGAAATATCTTGGGTTTGGGAGTGATCCATAATCCAGCTTTATGGATTACAGTGGAACCAGAGAGGGAAACATCTTGACTTATTTCGGAAGCCATAGCCACGTTCTGCTGGTTGTACAGAACAGCATCTGCCAGCACCACAGTTACAGGCCAGCAGCTGGCAGCACTATCCCTGTCTCAGAGGGCAGAGCTCACCCTATCTTAACACTCACAGTATGTGTCCAGGAGGATCAACCTTAGCCTGTTGTAGCTGCAGGTGTGATTACGTACCTTCGTTTCTATTTCCAGGAGGGTGGAGAGTGCCAGAGGGAGGCAATGGGTTGGATGTAGCAAGAACAGTGATATGTGGTTGTGTAGTTGTACGATGCCGCACGTGTCCCAAGCATTTGGCCGAAAGCTGTAAAGTGACAGGCAAGACTTTTGAAGAGAGCAAAAACCTGTAACTCGCAAGGCTCTGAAAAACTTCTGCCACAACTTTTGGGCTTATCAGAGGGCCAGATATCACGTGATGCACAAGAACGATGGTCCTGTGAAACGTGCTTAATAATTTACGAACAACTATCATGCCTGTTTTTCATTTACTCCTGCATTTTCAAATAAAAATTTCTGGGCTCAGGAGTGCTGAAAATTATTAACATGAATGATAGTGCTTTATTGGTACAGCCTGTTGTTGATGGTGCTATGACAGTTGCAACTGAGGCCTAGTAAAAAGGGGGGTGGTGGAATGTTGCTCCCATCACTGAAGATCTTTCTTCTAGTATCTTTAGCAGCTCCAGCCTGGAGGGGTTAAGCACCTCTTGTCTGAAAGCTGGATTTCCCAGCCATGGGAACATAAAATGTTGTTCACAGTCGTGTTGTGGTCAAGTAAACAGAGAATCTTGATTGATGACTGACATGAGAAACATCTCATTCAGTGACTGCAAATGTGACCCTTTTGAGTCACAACTTGCCTGATTCCCTCCCCCTTCTCTCTGTCTTTCTCTCTTTTTCTTTCTTTCTTTCTTGTTGCTGTGCTGCATCCAGATGGAAGCATCTGTTGGGGACAAAATGAAACCTGCCCGGAATAAACATCTAGATGACAGCATTAATGAGACAGACACGCTGGTAAGCAGACTTCTCTCTTAATCCTAGTTGCAAACATCACTGTTAGGACCACTGTCTATTTTTCTTTTTTAATGGTGGAGACTCATTCTGAATGCTCCTGTTCTGCTATCTAGGAAGGGAATGAGCAAGATACATTTGGAGACTCGCCGGCCACCTTAATTATCCCAGAGAAAGTCAAGACGCCCATGAAGACCAGCAAAGGAGAGTTTCAGAGCATGGCATCACCTAGGTGATTATGCATCCGATGTTGTATGCTTGCTTGTGTTCGCTCTGTTCCTCTGGAAACTGTTCAAGCTGTCTGAATGCCTAAATATATAAAATACCACCCACTGAACATGGATCTCCTAATTTCTTTGACAGGGCAACCATTAACTTGTTTGTAGCAAAAGGGGATGCGCTAGGTCCGAAAAAGCTCTCTTCTTTTATGCTTCAGCGCTTGCAGGAATTTTGCTTAAAGGAGGGGGAAAAAACCAGATTTTGATGAGTGAGCAAAATTATCAATGAGGAACTTACCCAGATTAACCGAAGGAGCGTGTAGGCACTTCCACTTTGCTCCACATCAGCCTAGGGGGGTGGAAAAGCAGAACAAGAGACCCTAACCTCCAGGGGTTCGAGTGACAGTGGCTAAGGGTCAGAGGAAGACCCAAGGAACGAATATAAGTTAGTGAAGGCAAAGAGAGTTTAGACTACAGGGACTTGGAGAGAGAGAGGATTACGTGGTTAGACTTTGAGGAGGAATTTGGTGGAAGGAAGGAGAGGCGGCATCAGCCCTGTTTATGTTTGAAGTGCAAAGGGTAGCCAGTGGAGAAAGATGAGAGCTGGAACAGCAGGAGTGGGAAGCAGAGCAAGAGTGTTTTTTTCTGTCGGGGCGGAGGTGTGGACCTACGATGGAGATTTTACCCCCTAGCAGCCCTTAGAAGACCTCAGCTGCCCCCACGGTTTCCTTATGTGCCTCTGAAGGTTCAGGCTGCCTCCCACAGGTTTTCTAAATTCTAGGATCTCTTGTGAAGGCTTTCCTTGCTACTGCAATAAGATTTGGAAGTAGCCACTGACTGGCCACTGTGCTGAAAAGCACCAGTTGCCCCCTTTGGTGGAGTCTTCGCCTGTCGTGGGAAGAATGATGTGTGGGCTTGTCCAGCTGTCGAAATGCTTTCCTCAGTTGAAATTTAAAAAAAAAAAAAGTACCAGCATTGAGCCTCGGTCTTTCTAGTATTACTGCTTTGAATACCTTCCTGCTTTTCCAGCCTCCGGAGGACCATTTGACACCCCACCCCCCAAAAATGCATTGTGCCATTACAAATACTTTCTTCCCCTTCGCTTGCTCCTTGTTGACTGGGATGTGTTGCCTCTGCCGTCCCCTCTGGTGCTTGGGGGAGACTGCAGATGACTGCATCTCAGATGCAATACATTCCTTTTCCAGGCCCTGCTGCTTCTCCCCGTGCAGAGCAGATGCTTATTAGGAGACATGCTCAGCGGCACCATATGTTTGTTTGCTCAGCTCTCCCTCTCTGTTTCCTTTGCTGATTTTCCTTGTGCTGTTATGGCAGCAGCGGCGGCGGCGGCGGCAGCTGCTGCCTCACTGCCCACTCTTTACCAGGGGCAGCGGTTCTCAGAGTGAACCACATGGTTTTGTCCTTGAGTTTCCACCCTTTGCCTAATGCCTCAGACAGTAGCAAAAGGTTGGATGTGCCTTTGAGCTCCTCTGGGAAAAGTCACTGATGGGGAGTGGGGTGGGATTTTCTTTCACCGTTGTATTCCAGGCTGAATCTGCTTTGGTTTGCAAACTGAGCTCTGCTCTCAACCTGCTGGCATCACAGATTCCCCCAAGACCTCCACTTGTGCCATGCCATGAACTCTGAACAGCAGAAACTGGAGGCTGTGTCTCTCTTTTCTCCTTCAAACAAAGCAGATTTGGCGAAAGCCTTGTTTCTAGGAGCTGATCTTCAGAGGGGCTCCTCCTTCCCCATGGATTGGAGGGCGGCCCATAGCTAGTCAGAAGACTAAGTAGTATTGGCAAAAGGGATGGCTGCCTGTAACTGTGCCAGGGCATTGAAGTCCCACCCTTTGATGACTGGAAGACCTGAAAGACCCCAGGCGTTCCCAAGCATATTTCTTTTTCTTTGCAGTAATAAGAGCTGGGCATTTTGCCCCGTGGGTGTGTTAGTTTTTTAAATAAAGGAAGCATAAGTTTTGGGGCCTTTGTAGTAAACTTCTGTACAACTTTTGGAATAATTTATTGTCCTGATTTGGTGGAGCTAGAAAGGGGCTCCAGGCTCCACTGCTTGAAGGAAACATCCATCTGAATCATATTTGCAAAACCTAGAAAGGGTTTTTTTTCAGAGCGGACTCGTTAGGCCATGTGTACTTACTTACCTTGGAGGAAAGGTTCTTAAGCCTCAGTCTCCAAGACAAATGCTCTGCCCCCCCCCCCCAGTTGGCCGTCCCTGGAGCATTGATACCATCTTTCTGCTGCCCCCTAACAGCAAAATGGACAGTGCTGTGCACACGCCCCGGCAGAAGCGCAGTACCCCCCTCAAAGAGCGTCAGCTTTCAAAGCCCCTCAGTGAAAGGACCAACAGTTCAGACAGTGAACGATCGCCAGACTTGGGACACAGCACGCAGGTAATGTGCATCCAGAGCCTGCAAGGGTGAAGGTGTTATTCTTTTTTTAATAACTCCAAACAACCCCCCCCCAAAGTTGGTATTTATTATACCCTCTGTTTTATCTCATGTTGATGAGCCATGCTTCAGAAACTGTAAAACCTTTCCTGACAGATTCCTCGCAAGATTGTTTACGATCAGCTGAATCAGATCCTAGTGTCTGACGCAGCACTGCCGGAGAATATTATCCTGGTGAACACTATGGACTGGCAGGGCCAGGTAGGAAGACGTTGGGCTGTTGCTCTGTTTCTCTTCCATCCCTTTCCCTGACTCGAGAAAAGAAAGGCCACTTGGGCAAGCAACTAACTTAAGATGAAGCAAAGGGACATGTGCTCAGACTTCTGCTCAAACCAGCATACCATGGAATGGGACTTTGTCGAAACCTAAGCCCACCGCCCTGATACTGCCTCTGCAAAGTTGTAGTTGCTATGGATGATGATGCAGCTCATTCATGCATGAACTACTTTGCAGTATAATATAATATAAAGAGAGGTCTTGGCTCCGGAGATGTCCCCCCGTGGTTTAATATAATATAAAGAGAGGTCTTGGCTCCGGAGATGTCCCCCCATGGTTGGTTGGGTTTTGTTTTTTTTGTGAGGTTTTTTGCTAGAACTGAGAAAACTTTTTTGTTTTGTTTTGTTTTTGTTTTGCTAGAACTAAGAAAAGAGCTAGGAATATCCGGTTATTACTCATCAAGAGTCAATATATTCTTTAGCCCTTAAAACCAATCCCTGCAAGTTCGGCTCTGGCTGAAACATATTAACCATGTTCCACAAATGTTGTTTGAGGTATTATAGAATTTTAATTTAATACTGGTGGGCAGAAGTGCTAAATTCAATCGGTGGCGAAGTTAGGTTCAGTGGCAGATGAGATTCCAAAGGGGAAGCCACAGTGTGATGTTTGCAGGGAGCTTTGAAGAGGGAGTCGTCCCCCTCCCAAAGCTTGGCCATTAAAATTCTTTCCAAATCCCCTCCTGCTTCAGAGTCCCTGAACATTGCTTTTATCTTAAATGTGACCCTGGAGTCTTGAGGTTGGAAGCCAGATGTCTTCCTCTGAAGAGAAACGACCAAGTTCCAGAATTTGTTTCTGTGCTGGTTGCCATGCAGGAACTGAATGTTTTTGGCAGTATAAAGAAAGCAGGGTGGGGTGGGGAGAGTGGATGCTGGAGAGAGGCCTTCTCAGGGTTGAGCATCAGAGGGCTGAGAGTTGTTGATGCCATTGAAACCCTTTTCATGTAATCCTCTGTCCCCAAGGGGCTGGAATCGTGCCCTTCAAAAAGCATGCTGGGAGTGGGGGAATCTTCTTGCAACAAATGAATCTGCCAGGCCCAGTATTTCTTGCCCTGTTTTGTCCCACTGTTCGGTTGCTTTTTTTTTCCTGCCTGCTGGGCCTCAGGTTTTGTCCCACTGTTCGGTTGCTTTTTTTTCCCTCCTGCCTGCTGGGCCTCAGGAAAGGGATATGTCTCAGATTTCTGTCATCCTAGCTGTAACTGTGGCATGTTAAGCTTGTATCCAAGGTGCTTAAGGGTGCTCAGTTACCAACCTTTTGTCTGAGGTCCAGTGGCCAGTGATTTCCTAATCTGGGAAGAGGGTTTTGTGTGGGAGCTGGGTAACAAAGCCCCAAGAGTCATTCCCCACCCCTGCCCTCTCCCCACAACAGGCTGGATGACCTGTTTCTGTTTTGGCTTGCTCTCAGTTTGTAGCTGACCTCCTTCAGGACCAGAAGAAGCCGGTGGTTTGCACGTGTTCCACCATTGAAGTCCAAGCGGTCCTCTCTGCCATCCTCACAAGGATCCAGCGATAGTGAGTTTGCCGAGCTACACCAGTGGCACCTTCGCAGTATATTCTGTAATGAGTCCCTAAAGAAGTGGTGGTCCAAGCATAGCGCAGGACTCCGTGTGCCCCCCCCAAAGTCAACTTTTTTAGCCTCCAGATGCCCTCCATTGAAAAAAATAATAATGTGCAGGAAAAATGGGCATGTCCTGCTCTTGGAAACAGAAATGATGGCTTTACAGTAAAATAAGGTCTGTGAGTCACAACCTGGGGGGAAAAACACAACAAAGCTGGGGATGGTTACACAGCAGCACAACACCGCTTCCATCATTTCCACCCTTTTTGCTTATTTTTAGGCTTGGTATGGCGCCAAGTGGGTCCTGAGGGAAGAGGTGCCCCCAGAGTCACCTCCCTCTGCTTTACGAGAAAGAAGCCATTCCAGATTCCAAGTAACCCTTGGTTTTGCAGCAAGTGTCCTGAAGCCCTTGTGTGGGGGCACATTTCCCAATTCATCTTGCTTGGGATTTCCATCCCCAGCACACTTACCTTCACTTGGTAACTGGGAGAAGGAAAGGGGGGCACATTTTTCTACCTAGGTGGGCCTTCTGCTCAAATGGACTCGTGAAGGCACCTCTCTTTCCCCTGAAGGCCGACGGGAGCAGAATGGGTGCGCCCTTGCTTGTCCTCTTTATCTTGGCAGTAGAAAAAGAGACACAGCCCATCCGTGAAAATATCTGTTTGTGTTTGAATCCACCCTTGCTCTACCAGTTCAGTTTAGTGCTTTGCCCTTCTTAGCCCAGCGGACTTCCAGCAAAAGCGCTAACCTTCCACCCTTACCCTTCTAAATTCTCAACATTTTCTGTGGTTCTTATTTCGAGGAAACTGAATGCTGACAGCATGTCCCCTCCCTCCCTGAAAATAGGGTTTTTTTCCTGCCCACTTGAAGTGGGAGCATTTGGCACTCGCCGATGGCCAGGTGATCGTTCAGAGATGACCCTGGAATTGAAGTCAGTTTGTACCACAGAGGGTTGGCATGATTTCCACTCCCTTGCACATTCCTGTAGTATCACTAAAAATGAGGCCACTAGTGGTGGTGTTTGACTAGGAGGCAAACGCATCCTTCCGCTTTCCCCCAGTGAGCTTCTTTAGGCTCCTAAAAAATGCTTTGATCTTTTTCTCTTCTGCACTTATCGATACAAGCTGCTTCCAAGGCAGCCATTACATAATATCTAAAATTTATTTTAAAATGAAGAACGCAGTGGTCTGATAAAATTGGCACCACTCGCTGAAGCAGTCAGTTTTTGAAAGGCTTGGGAAATGCTGAGTTTTGCCCGTCATCAAAAATACTTGGGCGCAGGCACCACTTTGAGCCTCCACAGGGAAAGTGTATGGCAGCTGGCCTTGACCTCCTTCCCAATATGAGTACCCCCCCTTCACAGTTGCCACCAGCCTGTCTTGGGAAGGCCTCTAGGCAAGGATTCTTAAGGGAGGGATGGGTGTAAATTTAAATGCAGCTGCAAGCTATTTTAAAAGCAGTCCTGATCCCTTTTGTTCTTACGAAATGCCCTCCTCCTCCTTTTTTTAAACTTTGCCTTGAGCCAGAATCAGAATCCAGGAAACATGATTATAGGTAGGTACTCTTAGATTCTTTGGGCTTCTTTTCTAGTTTTATGCCGCATTGATCCAGGGAGAGGGGTTGCTTTCCCAAGTGTAGATTTGGAGGCGGTCACATTGTCGCTTCTTGCTGTTACAAGCCCTGATGATGAGTAAAGACCTCTAGGCAAGGATTCTTATTTGGAAATCAAGACCCATGTAATTAGGGACAATTTGGGGCTCCTTTGTTCACTGTACTCTTTGTCATTGGGAGATGTTTCCGCCACCACTTGACAGGCACACACTGCAAGCTCTCCAGAGAAATGATTCACATGACCCTGCATTGTCAGTTTAATTGGAGCGATGGGTCAGTTCTGCAGACGGCTCCATACTAAAGCATAAGCCCTGAAACATGCCAAACATTAATAACATTCTGATCATGTGAAACCTAACGATCACCCACCGCCAAATATGCGGATTCAGTTATGTGTTGCTCAGTCAGTTCTGATTCTAATGGCAGCCTTCACAGGGTTTTCTCAGTCTAAGGTGCTCAGAAGTGGTTTCCGAGGCCCTCCCTTCAGGGCACCCGGGGACCCCCTGCGCAGCTGGCCCAAGGCTGCAGCACGTAGTGGGGCAAACAACCCCAGCAGCCACCTGTGCTCCAGGTCATGTCAGCTAGTGATTCTCTCAGGAGACACCATGGGGATTAAAATTCCAGAGGGGGCTCTGTTACCAAGGTGCTCCAATCCACTAAGCACTATCAGAAAGATACGTGGAATTAGGGGACAGGATTTTTTTTAAGGACAGACAGCATGCAAAGATGAGCTCCAGCACTTTTCCCCCCTTAGAAACTGAGCCCTGTGCTCTGCTCTTTCAAACAGTTCTTCGTATCCAACCTTCTGCCTGGGAGTTGTGTGTTTGGGAGTTCGGAACCTAAGGATTGGGCTCAACCCTTGCTAAACCTGCCTGCAGCATCTGATTTTTCAGTAAAAACCCACTGAAGAGAAAAGCTGCCAGCCTGGCTAGGAACGAGTCTTTCGACTTGCCAAAACAGAAGTAGTGCATGCCCTTTTTTCACTATTTTCTCTGGAAACAGCCCAGCTCCAGATGTCCTTGTGGGATTTCAGTATTTTTTTTCCCACAGCTTGTGAGTGCCCTCTAATGGCCCCTTGAGCACGTTGCTGGTTTTTGATGCGTGAGTTATATGGACTCCGGAAGCTTTAAAGTCCCCAGAGGCCCTGCACTCTATGTGAGGGATTTGGGGAATTAATAGGCAACATCATTCCCTTCTTTATACTAACATTTCCTCCTTCAGACATAGAGAGTGCTTGAAATCGATAAGCACTGGGACGTGGTATGTCCAGTAGACAACTTAAAGAGAAGTGGTGTTTCCGTTTCTTCATTGTGCCCTCAGTGGAGCATTTGGAAGTAGGAGGCACATCATCTGCTTTGGTCCTGTTAACCTTTTAAAAAAATCATATTTGCCTTCATACATTACCCCGGCCACCATGGAAGCGTGTGGGGCAGAAATGGAAGGCTCCCCCCAGCAGCCTATGAAATGGCCTTTAATTCCGTATCACATTAGCAACATAGTGGGTTACGCTGAAGAGAAGCAATCCACCCAGGAGCCCCGAGTGCCCGGGGAAAATGGTTTGAAACTGAGCGGCCGTGGGCCTGAGCCGTGCCTGAATAGGAGGCTCCTTTGAGCTGCTCTTTGCCAAAAAATAAAAGCAGGCTATAAAATAAATGTCCCTTTGAGAGTCTGTGTTCTAAATGTTGTCTCCCTGTGATTATGTATTAAGGTGAGTCATTCTACAGTCCTTCATTTCAGTCTCATGAGAGCTCTTTGGATACTCCAGTTAAGGAAAAAATGTCCAGATTTTTGCAGCTATTTACTTGAGTGAGGAGTGTATGCAGATAGCGTGTATGTCTGTGTTTGTTTTCTCCGGTGCCTTGACCGCCTCCTGTTTCTTTCTCTCCATCAGCTGCAACTGTAATTCCACCATGCCACGTCCAGTGAAGGTGGTGTCCGTGGGGGGCCAGAGTTACCTTAGTTCCATTTTGAGGTTTTTTGTGAAGCAGCTGGCAAACAAGACATCGGACTGGCTGAGCTACATGAGGTTTCTCATCGTCCCGCTAGGTATTGGGGACCTGTCTTTGTAGTTTGCTTGCTTGGGAAAGAGCAGTCTTAGCATTAACACCCAGTAATTCTACATTCCAGTAAACATTCCTGTTACATAACAGGAGTCCTCTAGTGAAGAAAAAGAAAGAGCTGACCTGACCTGACCTCCCAGTCCAAAATACACCGGCCATTGATGGTCACTGAAGGAAAAGACTCCTTCCCGACCCCGTCCTGTTTTGGACTCAGAGCAGCCCCAGACCCACTTGGAGGCATCTTCTTCCAAGAGTGCAACAGTTGGTCACAGCCGAGCATGATAAATAAGCCTAACATCCTAATCCCAAACTCTTTGCTCTGGAAGCAGAGAAGATTATTCCAAGAATCACTGTCTTAAGACTACTGCACTCTTCTTCTTTTAGAATGATCCTTGATTCTTTGGAAGGGGTCATTATATGGGCATCTCTGTTGCGGGTATGTAGGATTCCACTCCCCACAGCTGGTTACTTTCTTTTCCCAGCTGTCCTGTTGTCAAAACACGCAAGGCTTTGGCCCTGTTGAGTAGTAGGGCTACTTTAGACAAGAGAATTAAATCAGCTTTGGTTTTCAATTCACTATATCTGCTAAACAAATAGCCAAACTTAAACACAAGATAGTAGCTTTAAAATAAAACTAACAAGATACCATTTGCTGGCATGAAATTTCAAGGTCTCTGGTTTTAAAAAGCAGCCTTTAAGCGTGGGGAGTTGTGTTAGAGTGGTCCTGCTTTGTTCTCTAGTTACCTGAGGAAGTTTCTTTTACAGCCAAGGTGTTCCTCTGAGGCACTCCAGAGAGGGAAATTCCAGTGGGTCTTTAGACAATAATCCTCTGAATTAAGCCTCTGTAAATTCCAGAATTCAAACTGATCCGTCAGTAGACACAGATGATTTGGTTATGTACTCAATGGTTATGTCTTCTGGGCAACTGAATCAGCTAGAAAGTTTATCTGAAGGCAACTTTTTCATGTCTCCTGTAGCCCTTCTATCTGATATTTCCTATCTGATATTTTAATACAGAAAGGGGTGGCAGAGCTAGGAGGCTGAATTTCCAACAGTGAGCAGCCCCAGTTTTAATCATGAAAGAAGTGGTATTTTTATTTAAATTTTATTTAGGAATGAGTTCTCTCAATTAATGAGAATAGCAGTCTTGGGCTATAGAAAAAGCCCCTGAGCCATTTTTGATCCAAGCCTGACAACCTGAGCGCCATAGAAAGAGAGCTGAGGCAAAGATGGTTGTGGTTTTGTGGCTCAGGAAGTGGGGGGGCCTTCTGGTTTCAAGGGACATGTTACCTCTGTACCACCTGTTGGATGGCTTGACATGAGGGTTTATCAAGGAAAGTCATAGCAACGGGATTTCTTTTCTTTTGACACCAGGCTCTCATCCCGTCGCCAAGTACATGGGCGCTGTGGACAGCAGATACAACAGTATGTTTCTGGACACAGCATGGAGAGACCTGTTTAGCAAATCGGAGCCGCCTGTGGCAGGTAAGAGCCAGCAAGTCAGTACACTGTCGGCAGCCGAAGAACCTTCTGCCAGAACGCTCTTGTTCTGTGCCGCAAAATGAGGGACCTTGCTTCCCTTTGTTTTCCCTTGTTTTGTCTACATGAAAGGGAAACTCAAATCGCAACCTATCGATCTGGGATTTTGAGTATAACCCCAAGTCCGTGCTTGAATGGTGCACTCCATTCCCTGTGCTCAGGCTAGCACGAGATCAAATAGTATCGCTCCTGGCACTTCAGAGCAAACCGTAATGGCCTTGGATAGACCTTGCAAAGGCAAGCTGGGCCCAAGGACTGCTTTCCCTGGAATCTGAAGTCCCGCTCTCCCAAAGGGCAGGGATAGGGACAGAAGCAAAAGAATGTGTCAATAACCCATGTCCCGGGGGGTGGGGGGAGAGAATAAAACTGTAGCACGGATGCTTGCTACTTCAAGGTGGATTCTACAGCTCTGCATCCTTTGTTGGTCTGTGTTCTCCTTTCTGCTTTTCTCCTTCATCCGCCTCCCTGGCTTGATACGCTGTTGTACAAAGCCCACCAGTGCCTCAAGTGGCTCTCAGCGCTGGCAGTGTGCAGGTTCCTCCTCTTGCAGCCCTTGGCCCAGCTGAGAATCCAGAGAGTCCTTTCCGTTGCTTGACATGCCTGTTGGGTTCTTCTCTTCGTCTCCAGAGCCCTTGGACATAGTTGGGCGGATCATGCAGTACGTGAGCGGAGCGAATATGACACACCAGCTGCCTGTGGCCGAGGCCATGCTGACCTGCAAGCACAAATTGTAAGCTTCCTTTTTCCTTCCTCTGTCATGGGCTTGATTTTCAGTGGGGTGAGTATACTTGGACTGCCGTGTCAGCGTAGTTAACAAAAGTCTACATCGTCTTAGTCGTGTTGGCAGAGTTTGTTGAGTCCAGACATCCAGTTTGAAATAGAGTTTAAATTCATCTCCTTCAAAGTACGTTTGCAGTTGTCATCTGATTTGTTTGCAAAGCAATCTGTCCTGGAAGTTGCAGAGCACTGTAACATCCAGAAAAGTGGCCTGAGAGTGTGAGGAAGGGACAATAGAGTTTAAATTCATCTCCTTCAAAGTATGTTTGCAGTTGTCCTCTGATTTGTTTGCAAAACAATCTGTCCTGGAAGTTGCAGTGCACTGTAACTTCCAGAAAAGTGGCCTGAGAGTGTTCACACTTTGTGATGTATTACAAGCATGCTGAAGCACGATTATCCCACCAAAACCCAAGGTAAATGCAATGAGGTTTTTTAGCACAGTCAGCCATTTTGGTCCGTTTTCTTGCATCAACAGAAGCAAATGATTATTTTTTTTAACTTCAGCAGGCACATTACAGAGTGATGGTGGGAAGATGGTGTTTCTCTATCCTCTCCCCATCTTATTTTTTGAAAAGGCCTCTCTGCTGATCTCCCCATCTTATTTTTTGAAAAGGCCTCTGCTAACGGAACAGAAGTATGAGAGAATGGCGAGAGGGCTTAACACACATTCCTTAATGTCTTAGCATTCTAGCTGTTGTGAATTTGCTTTGTAGAGGGAACATCCAAACATACCCTACAGAGGCCTGATGTTACTAGTTGTATCACCTGACCCGTCATGCATCGGTTACAGTTCCACCATTGGATCCATTCACCTTGCAATGGCATTTTCACCTGTAAACATGGTTGGCCCCATCAGTAGACTGTGTTGTAAAACATGTTGGCCCTGCCCAGGGAATTTATACATTGTTTGCAATCTGCTCACCACAAAGAGCAATCAGGTCTATGTTAGAGTCTCTTTTTGAAGGTCAGCAGCCCTCAGGGTAGTGCCCCTGCCCCATGGCAGCAGCCTCCACACCGGAGACTGTGACCTAATGGATCCATGGATCTTCCCGTGTTCGATTTGTCCAGAGGTGCCTCTGTAAAACACTGCACCTTGGAGATGGAGCTCCATTTATTTTTTCAGACATGTCGGCCAGAATCCAATTGGTGTTTGTCTAAGGTCTGCATAACTTGCTGTGGCTAATTGATGAGCTGCTGGGCGCATCTTGGTTATGCAGTGCGATCCATGACTAGGCATGGGGCCAAGACACACCCTGGCACCTCATCAGTTAGCTGCAACAAGCTAAGGAAACCTTAGGCAAACACCAATAAGATTCTGGCTATAACACGCAAGCGAAAGGGGAAAGAAAGCTCTGGTTCTTCCTACCTACCTTTTAGATTTTAATGGCAGTTTCCTTTACCCCACAGTCAAGATGAAGACTCTTACCAGAAGTTCATCCCTTTCATTGGGGTAAGGCATTCCTTCTGTCTTGGTTTTTTCACCCTCTCAGTTGAGCTTTCCTCGTTTAGTGTTGGCTTGCCCAAACTCTCGAATCGATAACCCTACATATTTACAGGGTGAGTTTTTTGGGAAACAAATAGGCACGCATTTCTCTAGACACACTTAATTTGGGCACCTCTTCTCATTTTATCATCTCCTTCTGTCCTACCATGCTCCTTTCTTTGCCAACACTGAACAGAAGCTGTGGCGGAAATTTGGATCTGGTGGCATTCAGTCTGATGCTATTGTGTAATTGAGCTTGGACTAAATTTATCTTTGAGTGGTAGACTTGGCAGGAAGCTTGGATCGATCCATCTGATAAGTGATGAAGGTACAAGGATCCTCCATCCTCTGTTGGAAGTGTCACAACATGTTCACTTATAATTCAGTTCAGGTTTTGCAACAACAACAACAACACTTTGTTTCCCTAGCAAAAGTTCACTTATAATTCAGTTCAGGTTTTGCAAAAACAACAACACTTTGTTTCCCTAGCAAAATGATAGATGTATCTGATTTGCTGGTCCTCCTGCCCAGAGGAAAGGCTGGAAACAACTAGACCCATGGGTTGCAATGTGCAGACATGATGGTTACCCATGGTTTGTTTATTAATGATTTAAAGCACTTTTAAACTTCCCTTTGAGGGTAAAAAAAAGGAGCTTCAAAATAGCTAATAAATATCAGTCCTGAGGGTTGGACATCCTGGCTTGTCACTCTGAGACAGGCTAAGCTTTGTAAGTTTAAGACCAGGCCACTGTATCTTGAGAAAGGTAGGAGAGGAAAAGCAGGGAGGAATTTTGCTAGCAGCAGCTTAGATGCCAGGCAGAAATGTATGCCCTGGAGAGTCAACAGGGACTTTTTCCTTTAAGTCCCCTCCACTGGGAAAGCTGTGAAAATTGAGAGAGAGAGACTAAGAGAAAAGGAAATCTGGAAGAACCTTGCAGGCTGAAAACACATAGCATTGAAAAGGGAATAAACGAAGATGCAGTTATGGGTTTTTAAAAGGAACAACAAGCAGGATCTGCAGTTTGAACCACATGGTGAGCTTTCAGGGATTTTTCCCTGGTAAGAGGATCCAAGTCCTCATGTATTCAGATTGCAAGCATTGGTCTGCCTTTTTCCATCTTCAAAGCACAGCTGGTGAACTGGAGAGTCAGAATTCTCGCGGACACCCCAGTTCACCAGTTTCTGCCCTGGCATCCTAAGCCACTGCTAGTCAGATTGACTCCCTTCTTCTCCTCTCCTACCAACCTCCGAATACACTGACTGTGTTTCTGAAGTTACTGTAGCCTTGACGCAGAGGAGGATCTTAATGGTGAAGAAAAGCCGCTATTTGGATTAAATACACAAGACGTTGGCCACTGGGGGCCACTCTTACCCTGCAGAGGAATTAACATGCCTAGCAGGAAACAGGATATTTACCAAGAAAGAAAGAAAAAAGCTATTGCTCTTTTTTTTTTAAAAGTAGGGGAAATTTGAGTCAACCTGAGCCAGGCAGGGGAGTGACTCAGCATGCTGTGACCCACCGTGTGCCTAGGAACTGCTGATGCGATGACAGCCAATTAAGGGGAAACCTCAAGTGTATGAGTCTTTAGAATACACTCAAGCCCTGCGCTTATTTACAAAAGCAAAATAAGCTTGTATTTAATGGAGCAGAGAGGACAGCTTGGGAGCCGTTACATTTTGGGCTGTTAGCCTTTGGAAAGAGAGGGAAGTGAGTTTGGCTACACCTTACAGACTGAATAATGGGGGAGGTCCGAAATCAGTGTTGTGATTTCAAACACACCTTGCTTCCTTGTTTAGCTTCCTTTGGCATTATAGGTAGCTTTGTTTTTTTTCTTTCAATGGTGGTCTGTTCTTAAAGGGTCAGTTATGTGTTTATATGATGATCACCAGTGTGCAGGTTATTCTGATTTCTGACACACGTGCTGTTTCCAGATGTGCCTTTTAGTTTTGAATGGAGAAAGCCATGTAACGAAAGTGCTGCTGCCATATGATCACTGAGAAACCGGTGTCGCGCATATTTGTCGACACAGCTAGAGCAGACTGGAACTTGTGACCCCCATATACCTAAGTCCATATCTAGACCATTTTTTCCTTTAGGTTCATTTTCAGGGGTCTAAAAGGCAAAAGGTGATGCATTAGAGATCAGGCAGAGGCAGAAGGTGATCTCCTCATACTGATATCTGGCCTCCAAATATATATCCTAGAGAACTGCTTTCTGTGGCTTCGTACAGTAACATGATCAGAAGGTGACCCTGCATATCATTCACTTCCTGCAGCAGAGGACAGGAATTCTCAATGTTTTCACCTGCGTTATCTCCTCCCACTGACCAACAGGCAGGGCCTCTGCAAATCAACTGAATAGGGTTAAGAGACAGTTGAGCATCCCTTTGACAGCTGAAATCTCTCAGAGGTCTGAAAGGGATCCTTAAGTTTGCACAAGGATGAAGGTGCACTTTTCTCAATGCAGTGAAGGCCGTTCACATTCTGGTAGATACTGTGGATGGTGCTAAAAGCCTGATGGGAAGTGTCGGTTGTCAGTAGCGTGGCCAGCGGGAGCACCTAAGAATCTTTGCTGAGCCATTTGGAACGGTATGCAAAGACAGGATTGTGTAAACTCCAAGGAGGTCAGAAAAATCTCACCTATGTCAAATTCACAAAATATTCTTCAGTGTTTTCATGTGATATTTGTGCATCTTCACATACCAAGTAACTCTTGAAGCCTAGCACCATTCTCCATTCTGAATTTCAGTTTGGAACTTGCAGCTATGCTTGAAGAGAAGGTTTGAGGTCTGAACACAATTGTCCGGTAGCTCAGTAAATAATGGATTTCAGCTTTGGGTACCAAAGCTACTGTTTCAGACCTTGAATAGTCAATAGTAAGTAATTATACAGCTGGAAACAGTGGCCAAAATCCTGATGCCCCGTTATTCATCAGGCAGAACTTTTAGAGGTGAACTTCCTCAAGTTAAAAAAAAAATCTCTGTAAATGTTACACGTTGTTTGCTGAATTGCATGACTTGGTGCTCATCAAGTAATGTCTACGGAGTTTTCTTTACCTGAGGCAATTTGCCTCTAAAAGTTACATCTTTTGCCTAACTATACAATAGGATTTCAAACAATACGATTTTGCATGGAAGAACCACGGTGTATTTCCATCATAGTACAAGATGATTTAATGATGATTTGCTTGTGTTCCATGGCCTTGAGATCAAGAGGCCTTTGGAAAGCAAAATGTGTTTAGCCTCTACTGCAGCTATACTGTCTGTTTTGTTTTGGAAGTGATTCGCTGACCGTCCCTTTTCTCTCTCTCTCCCTGTCCCCCACCATATCTACTACAGGTGGTTAAAGTGGGGCTCATTGAAGATTCTCCTGCAGCCACAGGTACAGGCCAGCACACAAAGCTTTCTGTGCCACTTCTAAGCATATAACTAGTTAGCCTAATTACTCCACAGCATCTTTGAATGAAAGGATGGGGATCTTCTCACTAGCAGGTCAGAGTCTGCTGATGCTCCTTGTTTCTGTGGCCCAAAGCTTCATGGCTTCCTTCCTTTGCAGGTGAGGGAGACGATTCTCCCGTCATCAGCCTCACGGTTCCCTCCACCTCTCCTCCTTCGACCTCTGGCCTTGCCAGGGACATCACTGCCACTCCTCCATCATCCCCCTCTATGACGAGCGGACTGGCTGTCATGGGGTAAGTATGCAGCTATGAAGACCCGTCAGGTCAGAGTGTGTGGGTTGTAGGCCTTGCCCATACGTTACACACTGGGAAGCTTGGTTACCTTTGGCTCTAAAGAGGATCCCGTGGGCATGGGGTCCAGAAAGGCCTTGGACTAGAACCCTTCTGCTGGTTTTTGGGGATGTGCTCCGTCCTCCTTGAAGTTCAATACAGTTCAGTAGGCCTAAAGTAAAACAATGCCTGAGTGGCGCGGACTGTCATTTCTTGCGCTTATAATCTCGGTAAATCTCCCCTTCCGCCTTTCCCAGTTGCCGAGTCCTTTTCAGGTGGTAACTGGGACCTCTTTGTTAACAAGGGTTGTGTGTGCCTAGACAGCTGCTTTGTGAAACAATTGGATTTTGTCCTGGAAACTGTCCGACTGATTAAGTATCTCGGAGGGGCTTCTTTTGCAAGTGTGGGGAGGCAGGTAGGATTTTTCCAGAGGCATTTAATCAAGGGACAACTCTTTTGTATGTTTTCCGGTGCAAGGGTCATTGGTATACTTTTTTAAAAAGCTTGACACCCTTCTGCCATTAGGGGTGGGTGGCTATGGCATGGTCCTGTTCTCCTTAGAGGTGGGTCTTCCCATTAGGTGTGGCGAGTGTTATATAAACTGTATATAACTAGGCAGTGGGAAATGGGCTTACTTCTTCCCCGTCTGTCTCTCTGTCTCTCTCTAGGTCTCCCAGTAGCCCTTATGGGGATGTCATTGGGCTGCAGGTGGATTACTGGCTCGCTCAGCCCTCCGAGAAGAAAAGGGAAGGGGAAAAAAAGGACGCCAGCTCCAAAAACACCCTGAAGAGCGTCTTCCGCTCCGTGCAAGTCTCACGACTTCCGAACAGCGGGGAAATCCAGCTGTCTGGAACCATGGCCATGACCGTGGTCACCAAAGAGAAGAACAAGAAAGGTAAGTGGTGGGGAGTCAGGGGCCAAGTTTCCTCCCCTGTGGGTCTTCCTCCTCCTGCCTGTGTGCAGTGAAGTGGCGTCATAGAGAGAGAGGCTCCACTGCTCCTCCACGTGGCCCTTCGTGGAACAGGCAAGGAAGAGAGCTGGCCAGGATGAGGCTCTGCCACCAAGGTTGCAGCGGAAACTGTTCCTTGCCTTCTTGCCCACAAGTCTTGCCTTAAGCGAGAGACCGAGCATTTCTCTGTTTTACCAGGATGGTTCCTTTGCACTCACAGGGGTCTCTCTGCTTTCTAGTTCCCACGATTTTTCTGAGCAAGAAACCCAAAGAGCGAGAGGTCGATTCCAAGAGCCAGATGATTGATGGAATCAGCCGGTTGATCTGCTCTGCGAAACAACAGCAAACGATGCTAAAAGGTAATCTTTGCCTCTTTGATTGCGCTCTGTGGGCCACCAGTAAGGGTTTCAGAGTGGATGAGAGAGGCCAGGCAATGGGGGCTTTTATTATTGTGTGTTTTGCTTTGTGAGTATTTATGATATGCTTCAAACCGCTGGGCATTCCACATATTCAGGATGGCCTACCTATACGATTTCCATCCAAAGGGCCATTTAATTACAAAGCAATACAGAAGAGCAGAAGCCAAGGTCAGTGCAGGAAAGAAACACGAGCCTGAGAGTGAACACGTTGGAGGCTTGTGCCACCAAGCAGACCTATAGAGGTCACAATCCTGTGATCCCGCCAGATCAAATATCATTCGTCAGCCATACATGCTTTGCGTATTTTGAAGTGAATCAAATCTGGATATGAGTGGCATCTCCAAGCCAGAGTCTTTCCAGACATCTTTTGTTAGGGAAGAGGCTGCAGTTCCATGGCCCGATGCTTGCTTTGTACTTAGTAAGTGTTTGGTCCCGTAACTGGCACTGAGTAGCAATTGATAGAAAAGGTGCCTGCCTCCCCATCCCAGGGTGGGGGGGGAGACACTGCTACAACTCAGAGAACTGCTGCCAGGGCCGATAGTACTGGTCGAGACGAACCAGTGTTCTGAATGTGTATAAGGCCGCTTCCTGTGTTAGTGTACAAACAGTGGGCTAGAAAGGCCCGTGATCTGCCGTAGGCACTTCCTGCGTTCATCGCCTCCTTCTGTCCTTGCTAGTTTCCATTGATGGAGTGGAGTGGAGCGACATCAAGTTTTTCCAGCTGGCCGCCCAGTGGCCGACCCATGTGAAATACTTCCCTGTTGGACTCTTCGGCTCCAAGCCGGCCTGATGGCGGCCGCACCGCGGTCCCTCCTGCATCCTCATCGCTCTGGGGCGATGGTGGCACCGCCGCTGTCCACACCATCCGCCAAATCACAGCTGTCCTGTGGTGATTTCACTTGTGTCACATTTACTGTGTGTTGATCTGGTCTCGCCAGGGAGGGACCAGCCTCCTGGTGCCAAGAAGAGGTGTCACGTTTTTTGTCTCCAGCCCAAGGAGCTGCCACCGACTGCTTCCTCATCCTCTGCTGCCACATCGTGTTGTGGGTGTCCAGCTCCCATCTGTGCTGAGTGCGGTGTATCTTGGGAACAGATTTCCCCAAGACTTTGGATTCTACTGGTTTGCCATCACACTGGGTACACACGCCACCCGTGAGCTGGGCTGGCACGCCTGCGTCTTCCTGAAGATTTGTGTCTGAAGAACTTGTGGCCCTGAAAGCCGACCTTTGACAACTTTGTCCCTGTTACTGCGTTCTTGCGTTCGCTGAGCCAACGGAGAGCTTGGCTGAGCTCTCAGAAAGTTCTCCTCAGCCTTGGTCTTCTCAAAAGCACAAAGCTGCAGGGCCTTGGTTGGCTGTGTTTGCATTTCCCCCCAAACACACACAAGCCCAGCTCAACCTGGAGAAAGCAGCCGAGGCCTTGTGCCCTCCCCCCAGCCCCTCCCTGCGTCACTGTTTCTGGGTCAGATATGCCAGCCTGGCAGAAGGAGCCTTTATGTTCCATGGAAATTACCTATTTCTTGTTTGGATGCTGGAACAGAAGAGTCCAGAAGGAGCCTTTATGTTCCATGGAAATTACCTATTGTTTGGGTGCCGGAACAGAAGAGTCCTTTACGTGGGTGTAGAGGCTTATATTTTCACTGGTGGTTCTGTCGACTCTGGCGGTCTAGCCGTGCCCATTAACAATTCCCTTGTAATTGTGCCACTTGTTCATTGTGATACTTTTTTTTATAACACCAAGCAATCAGAAATAACTAATTCTTCCCCACTTTTTTTTTAAACTGGTTCGTTGTAGCTGTACGTGCATGCCAGATAAGGCTCGACTTGTTGCCATATTAGTCACTTAAGTGAGAGGTGGGCAAGGCAGTCTCTTGGCCTAGGAGTAAGGAGAGCTTCCTTAGATAATCCTCCTCGGAGCTCATTTTGTTCACTGCACTCAACAGTAACGTTGAGAAGTGCATCAGCCCGGGGGACATCCTGCTGGGATCAAAGAGGAAAGGCAGCAGGCGATCCGGGCCATTTACCGGAGTCCGCCATGAGGAGGGCCATCTCGGCCATCTCTATCTAGAAAGCGGGATTGCAGTTCTTGCCCTTCAAACCCTTACTTATTTTTTTATTATTAAAAAAAATGAACAGGTCTGTTTTGCAGGATCTCCAGGAACAAATGCATGCCGTCCCAGACCTAGCAAAGTGGTCCTTTTCCTGTTTAGACAGGCAGGACAGCAGTCATTGCTTGGAGACCTCCTTGCTGAAGAGAGTCGGTTCAGCCTGAGGGCTGGGGTTTCGGCTCGCGGCTCAGACTAGACCATCCTAGAAGTGAAACGGCTTTTCCTGGCTATCATGCGGTAGTCCTTTAGGAAGGTGGAGCCATTTCCCTCTGGCAGGTCTACATAAGATAAAACATGAAAGCACTTCCCTCCCAAAAGCTGGCACTCCGGGGAATAAATGTCAACTTTTCTCTCCCTTGCAAGGCTTGTCCTATCTCACAGTTCTTCACCCTCGTCCTCAGCAGCAATAAAACAACGAGCAGCTCCCAGTGGGAAAAGGTTCCTCAAGATGCTTCCAGGCAGCACAGTCTCCACCCAGCAGCAGCTTCGGGCCCTGATGGCTCAGAAAGCACTAAGCACACAGCTTGTCTGTGTCAAGAAGTGGAGCACGTAGCCAACTGTGGGTCTGCTAGATGCCTTCTATATCTAAGGGGAAAAACAAGGCCGTCCGTCGTGGGTATTAGCTTTGCATAGACTTGGAACTGGTTTTGCTGGTTTCCAGGATTGTATGGAGGAAGAGGAAATACAGAGGTGGCAGTGAGATGACTCACGATCAGAAACGTCTGAGCAGCGTTCCTCAGCTTTCTCCCTTAGAAGAAGGAAACCCATGCCGTTCTTTCCTTCAAGCTGTTTTTCTCCTCAAGGCCAGTTCTTTCAGATCGCATTCAGACCTGCATTTGAGCTGCCCCTAACTTGTGCTCCGGAGGGAAAAGCTTGCTTAAGGATGATTTGGAGTACCAGCATCTCCCTTCCCTTTATGCCCACAAGTCGTGGGATCCCTTCTCAAGCTCAGCCGAGAGCTGGCAGGGCCAGCTGGATCTGGCCCGATTCCATTTCCCCGCTTCTGGAAGAGTCTCACAGATAATTATTATTTTTTGGCTCCTTGTGCTGTGGGCAACTTTACAAAATGTGGCTTTGTGAATTCTTCGATCCCAAGTGACATTCTCAAGCCCACAAAGTCACACTGATGGTTATTTTTATTTTATTTTTATTGCCTGTCCTGTAATTTTCCCTTCTTGAAAGGAAGGTTCACTGGCCCAGGATATTTTAAGATTACATATCTCTCCTCTTGGGCTAGTTGTTCTACCCGTGGGTTTCCCCCCCAAAGTCTGGATGTTGAAGAAGCTCTTTCAATTTGGATCGGCTGTCAGAAAGTTCATACACATATATTTGTAACTTGGAGTCAGCTGCGTTCTCTGTATGGAAAGGAAAGAGGTACCTCTTTAAGGCAGGCAGTCTTTCTATAAGCACAATTCTGAATATTCTTTTCCCATTAGGTTTGCACAAGGCTGCCCTGTGTTTCATCTTCATTTCCTGTAGTAAAAATGTTTACTATTTTAAAAGATTTTTCATTTTTCTGCTTCAGCTTAATGGTTTGGGGGCAGGATGCAGCTCCAAGTAGACAGTGTTTAAGGCTGCTTGACATCTTGCTGGTCCTCGTTTTACCCCTTAGTTCTGGTAGTCTACCATTTCAAGAGAAGAAATTATTCTACGTCAGACTGGCTGAACTTTTCCTGAAGCCGCACGCAGCCCACCAGGAAACCTGGTTTTGCCACGTGCTTGGAACTGTACAGCTGTTTGGTGCGGGGTGTGTCTGATGTCTTAGCGGCCTGTGGTGCAGATGGGCAAGTTTAGAAGCTGTGGAGCCCCGGGGGGGAGAGTGCTGGAATTGGGGTGGAGGAGATTAGCCCCCCCCCGTGATCTTCCTTTGTCGAGTGTTAACTTTCCATCTCCCCGAAGTTGCTTTCTTTTGCTTTGGCCCGTCTGG